TGTTACTAGGAACAAGTGCATCGCTTCTAGTAACAAGTGCCTTACTAGTAGTAACAAGAAGCTGTTACTAGGAACAAGTGCATCGCTTCTAGTAACAAGTGCCTTACTAGTAGTAACAAGAAGCTACTATAAACTTTTTACCTGTAAAGGACGAGAGTTAATGGGCACAGTTGGGTTTACTGTTTACATGACTCTCCAAGTCCCTCCGGCAATCCTTGGTGGGCATGACTCGTCACCGAACGTCTCACAGAGACGCCCAATTCTTCATCCTCCCCAAAACTGTTTTGGAGTTTTTTTTTGAAGTGATGTATGGCGACACAGTTTAAGTATTTGGTTGTTTCAATGGACAGTTGCCCTACCAACCTCGAGCGGCACCATCTGTGTGGCAGGTGGCATTTCTCGTCCACCCTTCACTACCTCATCAGTGTTCGGGTTGGAGTGTGTGGTTTCGCCTTTTTTTCCCCTCCCCGTCCCCCTCGCTCCAGGACTTCGCCTCCCAAAGTGCTCAGAGCTTGTTCTTCCTCCTCGCTGCGGAGGGCCTCGGCACCTTGGACGCTTTAGCCTTCTCCTCGCTTCGCGCCATCAACGCTGCAGCCCAGTGGCGACGCCTGGCGGAGTGCCGTCGCTTCGTGGAGCAGGGCTTCGGCGAGGTGGACCCCAATGCCTTCCGCGCGCTCTTCGAGGGAAGCGTGGAGGATCTGCAGGAGGTGGAGGAGATGAGAGAGCGTTGACGTGTGGGCTTCAAATAGTGGGAGATGGCCCCCAAACAAAGAGGCGCTACTGGAAGGGACACCGCATGACACCATGACACAGATATAAGATATATAATATTTTCACTTCACCTGCGGCCCTGCGGGATTCCTGGTAAGCCATGATAAAAACTACTGCTTTGTCAATTCATGACTGGGCTGTTTGGACTTTCGACCCTCCAGCGGTTGGCCCTGCCACTTGGAATGAGCGCGCGTGCTACCCGCGGCGAGCACGGTACGAGTAGGGAAGATCCCCGGTGCAACGCACGCCGTGCCAAAGCGGAATATGCCGAATGCCATTGGCAACTGTATGAGTATTATATGCTAGCTGCTAGGCTATACATGACATCCACTTGTGAGTTCGTTCTAAGCCGGTTTTTTGGAAGTTTGCTCATCTAAACGCCTATAAATGCTGCACCCTTTAGGAGGGCTTACCAAGTGTGCGCTTCGAGGGCAAGGTCCAAGCTTATCGTGGCCGGGAGTGGTTGCAACGCTTGTTGAACACCTTGGGCGACGAGCGCGGCAGGGATCCGGTGTCGGATCCCCTCAGCAAGACTGGTGGGACTTGGCTCTACATGTTCCCAGTCCTCTTGGGTCAGGAGAGCGCAATGGACTTCAAGGAGCTACCCGAGGCTCAGGCTGGCCATGGCAAGTTGGCCCGGTGGCATCATGCTCAGGCCTTCTTGGATCTTCGGCGCCTCATTGCACCCAGCCAGGGTCGGGGCCCGGAGCTCGAATTCCGAGCCTATCTAACCCAAGTGGGCGCGCAGCCAGACTTCGAGGCTGAGTGGTCTGCCCCCTATCGTGCCTGTCAGACCTACGTGAAAGGAGTCATCAGCCTCGATCGGCCCTTGCAGCGGCTTTGCCCAAGGGATGTTCAAGCACCCACACAGCCGAATGGCGAGCCTTACATCCCTGCAGCTCCGCCCAAGCGCCCACCCCCCACGGTGAACGAGGAACTGGAAAAGGAGGCGGCCAGTCTCATCGCACGCCTCTCCTTCGACTTCGCCCGTTGGTGTTACGACTCCGGCTTGGTGGAGACGAAGATCGTTGGACCGGGAGGGGCCTTGAGCCCGAATGCTTTGCTCGGAAAGAAAGGACTCCGGGTGGTTGGTTGGTTCGCGATTTTTCATCTTTTATTTTTTTTCTTCCTTCACATGTTTTCACACTGCCCTTGTGTTTCCACTTGCGGTCCTCAGTGCAGTGATCGTCGCTATGCCCTTCTTTCATGACGCACCAGCTGCGTGCCAGAGTCCACCGACCCTGACGAGGCGTCTCCCGCAGGGCTTTCCTGCGATGGCTGGAGCAAGAGGGTGATGGCAGCAGTTTGAAAGATCTGGGGCAAGCACTGCGGCCGGCCATTGTGCGCCTGGTGCGGGCGGAGAACAAGAACGGACCTGCCTGTGGGTTGAGTGGCAATGAGAATGATGCCAAGTACACCTATCTTAGGTGACGTGGGCGGGGTGTTTTCGTGTGGTGCGGCTGTTCATCATGGGTTTTCCGTTCAACTACTCCGTTGGATCTCACCACTCCGTTGGATCCTTCCCAGTTTCCATCCTTTTTCCCTTAACATATTTTTCAGTCTACAAGGGGTTGGTGGGTGCCCTGTGTGAAGATTCACTCTACCGATGCGCACGTCCTTCATGTCCGAAGCGTGAAATGCAAGAGTTCCAGTGCACCTCCGCGAAGGAATTCACAAGGGGGTTGCAAAAAGGATTTGTGCGACAACTGCCACACACCACACCACCACTTGGTCAATTGAAATCATCTTCCAAATATATAAACCCTGCTTCAGAAAACTGACTCCTCAGAATTCCAATTCGCCAAAGGGCGTCTCCAATCCTAAAATGGCGCGCCCCTTGGGAGGGTCTGGAGAGGGAAGCCGGAAGTGAGAGACCTTCAGCCAGGGACTACATCTCTCGGCACCTCTTCCGCGCGTTGAATGGCGAAGTCCAGAAGCACCGCCGCCTGCGGGACGAACTGCTCTGGCGGAGCCGGACGGAGGCAGAGCCCACGACGGCCGCGGTGGCTGCATGGAGCTGGGGGAGCGGAGCCGGGGGTTTTGGGCGGTATAGGCTAGGCATCTGAGTGTTCGGCGAGTGGTTCAATAGACATGAGCATGATGGAGACAAAGTTGACAAAACGGCTTGCATCATATATGCAACCCCTTCTGTAAATTAAATACTACCTAAAACACACACAATCACATTGAATTTCTTCAATGAGTTGTGAGAGTTGTGTCATGAATTGGTTTGGAGTTTTGGCAAGGGTTCCATTTTGCGGACGAAATCGTTGCGCAGCCCGGGTTGGTTCTTCAGATCGTGGGACGTTCGACATAACATATCGAACTCAGCCCGTCCGCCATGATGGGATGTGTGGCCAGACCAAAGCACCAGAAATCAGTGCAACGACCAAACAGGTGAGCTGGCCCAAGTCTCATGTTGGAGACGCCGCAAAGGGCTCATGTTGCTCATGTTATTTCAGTTCTTTCGCAGAAGATGAAGCCAACTGTGATCTACATGAGATCAGGACAGCTTGGAGACCCCAGATGCCATCTTAAAGCGGCTGACCTTCGAGTACGAGCTCCTGGGTGATTGGGCCCGTGCTGCCACGCATGGCTTTGAAGAACGGTCACGTTGTCCGATCCACTTTTTTTGGGGGCAAAGGGTGGTCACGTTGAAGGGGCGAAGGGCCTTGAAGACCAAGCCAGGCACATGCTTCACATGGTCCGTTGAAGGAATGGTCCGTTGAAATGGCACACGCCAGGTTCGGCGCAGGGAAGGTCGGACACTGGACTGGGTCGGTTCGCGCAGTCTTCCAGTCTGGAACTGCCAGGGGCGAGAGAAGTCTATGAGGAGTGGCTAGCATTGGAGGCCAATGTGGAGAATGGAGAGGCAGGAGACCTCGGTGTTGAGTCGAGGGAGCAGTATCCAGTAGTATCCAGTAGTTATATATGTCCCACACCATTGATCACACGTGTTCCAAAATGTTGAATGTGCGCTTCAATTGGAACATTGGCAGAACTCATTTGAGCAACTGCCAAAAGAAGGGCAGCATCACTACAGTGAAGACTAAGTAATAAGTAAAGTGAAGGACACCTTCAGGAACGATAAGGCTCACAGAAAAAGACGATCACGTTGGGAAGAGTGCGCACTACAACACATACTGTAAGAGGTTTTGCGCGTCACTCATTTGCGGCTCTAATGACCAGATGGTGTCCTATGACCAGACTCATTGCAAGACCAGCCATTGTTCCTCAAGACAGGCACTATGACATATGAACATCCATGAACTATGTTTTTCTGTCAAGTGCAAAGAAGTATGGACTATACTACCTCCTAGTGACCAAATAGTTAACGGAACTATACTACCTCCTATGCCCTCCTATGTCATCAGAACCAGTATACTTCGGTTTAAAGTGCTTGGTCTCAGCTACCGCATTCCATTGTCAGCGACCTCTTCTTTCCGAGCGCTCGATGTGTCAGGCTTGGCTGAGCTCCTCAGCTTGAGGATCCGGGAGGTGGAGGCTTCATGCCAGGTGAACCACTAAAGTCATTGGGGTGGATGTTCTTGCAGGACTTATGAATTAGATCGGGCACTGATGGGACCGTGGACGGTGGCTCTCACGGTCTGGTTCTAGCATTTGGTGTTGCAAGATCATGTGCCATCTATGGAGAAGCTTTCGCCCAACAAATTCAGTCTACTGCATCATGTAAAATGCTTCTTGTTGAGATGATCAAGCCCTCAAATCAGAGCCTATTTGTTCTGGGGGTTCAGAGGTGTCACCATCTGCCTCCGAGGCTTTGCACGTTTCCTGATGCGCCAGATGCCTAAGCCAGAGTGCGCTGTGGAGCAAGCCTGTAGATATTGAGGTGACCAGACTAGTAACTGTCCATACAACCAGGATCAACCAGGGGTTGCAACCCCTATAAATACTGTATATTGATTACTGTAACCGATTAACTAAAGTGTTTGAGATGATTGCTGACGCGTGCTGACGCAAAAGCCAGTCTTGAGGTTCCGAGCAAAACCAGCTTGACGCAGAGCATGTGCTCAGATATGCACTGTCCTTGAGGAGAATGGAGCTGTAAACTTCTTGTGAAACACTCAGAATTCTGTTTTCCGGGGAACATGGTTTCCTTTGCAAGGGGGAGCTGGCAGTTTCATGCCTTCAGCTCCAGTTCGACCGTTCGACCAGGACGGAGGAAGAGGGCCCTCACTTTCAGGAGGTCTGCAGGGAACAGTCTGTCGACTCTCGGGACAAAACAAGACTCCAAGACTCAGTCAATGCATCGGACGCCAAGCTGCCTAGTTTTTGGGACTGGGAATGCCGGCAGGTGGCCTTTTTGGCTTGCCTCCTCGAAAATCATCGCTGGCCATCCTTTTTGGACTCTGAAGGGGTCAGGCCGGGCTCGCATGCCGAGTGACGCAATGGAGGGCTAATTGCACGTGGTTGCAAAAGCAATGCTCAGCCTGGGCATTGTGTGAGCCACCCTTACAACATTGGCATCCAATAAATTTTGCTGTATTTCAGGTTTTGCTCAGCTGTGGCAGGTCAGCCCGCTTCGAGGCAGCCTTGGCAATGGTCGAATCCTACGCGGACGAATCCTACGCGGACAGGAGCACAGCCAACGGTGCCGTCGAAGTTCTTTTTTCCTTCCAACGACGTGAGTCGCAGTCAACGAAGCACCTGATGCCTTCTTGGAGGAACGCCTTTGAGCGGATGCCCATGTACATCATGTTCCTCCTCTTCGCCGTAGAGGTTGGGAGTGTTGCCGTGAAACTCATGAGTGTGGCTGAGGTGTTAGTGTGAGGTGTGAAGGTCACGATATGTCAAGATCATTGCTGCACACAGGCGGCCAAGCTGCGCGAGGAAGCTTCAGTCGAAAGCTTAGAAACTAGTTGGGAGCAGTTTTCGGCAGATGGCATGTCCACCCTCACCCTGCAAAACAATGCTGTGGGAAGATCACCTTCCTTTGGTCCTTTGGTATTGAGGTTTCTGTGAGAAGAAGTCCTCCCAAAACGGTCCCATGTTCTCGCTTCTCTCAGGGAGAAGTGCCCCAGGAGGATGCGTTGCAGCTGGCGGAGCAGAGCGATCGCCTGGCCGCAGAGGCGGCAGGGAAGCGAAGTGAAGCGGGGGCGAACAATCAAGTGGTGCCCAAATAGATAGGGGATGGGACACTTCCCCCAACACTAGTAGCAGCATTTCTGAAGGGGATTGACTCTTCATCCTATCTACTGTAATTAATTTCAGAGTTGTTGTGAGGGGGTGTTATCAGGTACTGCGTGCCCCGCTATTTGAGGCGGCCAAGTATCTGGAGTTGGCACGGGCCGCACCCGAGAAATGGCAAAGTCGAAACCTCAGCAGAGTGAAAGCAGAGGTGATTCGATTATCATTCTTGTTTTTATTTTTGCTAGGTACAAAAGCATCAAAAAGAAGAACCCGTTCATTCCATCGCCCCCCCGGTGCTGTAGGTACGTTGGATGTGCTTCCCACCTTCCCCGAGCTGCAGCACCTGGTGGCGCGGGAGAAGGTAAACCGAGGCGCACCGGAGGCGCGAGGGTGCCAGGGTGCCGCGTATATGACGGGTGTTTTCATTGCTAATGAAAAGAACGTGAAACACTGCACTCCCAGGAGCTGCCGTTCTGATTTTCTTCCCCGCGGGTTGGAAGTTTGAAGGATGTGCTCATGATGTGCTCCTTAACTTAGTACTCTCTTCCCGCCAGCTGCCTCCATCTCCCTCCCAAGGACTTTCGCTCCCGTGGATCTGCTGTCCAAAGACTTTCGCTCCCAATGACATGACGGCGCTCCCAAGCTGCCACCTTTTCCGAGAGATCGCCCAGCAATTGTGCACTTCTGAGCTTTCTCCAGTTCTCACCCAGAGAGGTCGGTTGAGTGTCCTTCCGGGGTACCTATGGGATAGTCTATATAGGGATTTACTGGGATGCATATATAGGGTTCGTCAACCTTTGTTCGCAGGTGCCGGTCTCGCAGCCACCGGTCCCGCCCTGTCAGACCCGTCAGGCGCCCGGCGAGCCGCCCGAGCCGCCCGCTGCCTGGCAGCCGGGAGCGCAGCCGCTCCCGGCCTTTTTGGACGCGGGGACGCTGCGCACGGAGCCGGAAGCGGAGGATGCGGCTTGGAGAACAGGTGGGGGAGGAAGGACATTCTGGTTGATAAGCTGAAGATGCTTGATAATCATAATCTGAAGGAGACTTCAGACATTGACATGAGTGATCACTACTAGTAATTAGTGTAATTACTTTTTGGCCAGCTGCTAGTTCTGAAGGTTTCGAACGTCTCAACAACACTTTGCACTTTCCAGCGCTGGGGAAACAAAAAGACTCCAAGGACCATGTTCAATTGAATCGGCGATGTTTGTGCTTTCCTTTATTGTGTTCTTATTGGTCAGGTGTGAACTTAAGTTGTTTTTCTTCCTGCAAGGGAGACTTACACTGGACTCGGATGTTGGCCGTTGGACTTCCAAGGCTATCGCTCTGCAAGTGGTTGATCTGTTGTTGCACTTCGGCGTGCCGGACTTGGCGGGCTTCCTGTTGGGAGAAGCGGTTCAGGCCGGTGAGCTGGTCGATCGGTGCACGCCATACAAGGGGTGTTTAACCTTTTTTAACAGCTTTGTTGTTTAAAAGATGTGGCCGGGATCCAAGCAAGCCGTTGCAACATGTGGTTTGTGCTGCAACCTGCTCTGAACCTGCATTTTTGAGCAGCACACTTAGATAAAGTTATATAGCAAACGTTGATTCTCAGCTATCACCTGCTAGACTGTGATGCCAGGCCTATGGCTACCTCTCTCCCGTGACCATTATGTCAGAACGCTGCCAGATTCAGATGCTAAAGGCCGTGATGCTTTCCAAGGACAGACTTGATTTGGCTCTTCAATGCTGTACTTCCAATCAGCTCAATCAACTTTAGGTTGCAGTTGTGGGCAGCCTCGTGGTTGCCAGTCGCTCTACTGCCACGCTCTACTAGAGCGACTGCTTGAGTTTTACCGTCGTCACCGTCACCGCGGCCAAACATGAGCCAGGGAAGGACATAGCAGCGCACCACTAACATCAAATACCAATACCATGCAAATTACATCAAAAACCCTGCTGTTGCAGCATGATGCGCCCCAAGAAAAGAGTCAATCAACCTGCATCTGGTCATGTCATGCCCGCTTGCTCGGACTTGGTGCTTTGACATTGTGGTGTTTTCTTCCCACCCTCAAAGCTTTTGCCCTGTCCGCTGTGCGTCGTTTTCATCCTTTTTCGCCCTGTCCACTGCACATCGGAATGTTAGCCTTGACATGCCTTAACTGTTTGCCCTCTCATTCGCCTTATCTCGCAGGATTGGGGCAAAGCAGAGTCCGTGGTCAGTGACCTCTTCAAACGTCGAGGCGTTGCTGATTGGCTCTCCAAGTCTGAAACATCACGGCTCTCTGAAGGCTCTCAGTTGCTTGAGGCAAAGAACTTGCAAAGGCTTCCAAGAGTCCGTCACCTCATGTCACCTCATGTTCGAACCCTTTTGAATTGTGCCGTCCCTGGATTCTCATACCATGCCATGCCAAAGCCCCATGATGAGTCACATTAGGCGGCGACCGTCTCCCCGAAGCCCACGCACTCCTGGGCGAGTGCCGCTTCCGGGCCGCGCGGGATGCCGGCTCAACGAGCGGCTTGGCGAAGAGAACGAAGACATGAACTAGAGTCACTAGAGGTTTAGGATAAAGGCCCGGCCACTTCACAGCGTAGGCGAAAAAGGATTCCGGGGCTAAGTAAGTAGCTTCAGGATCATTCAGGGCCCTTCCGAAGATGAACAGTGAGAGAGTGAAACAATTAGACCGACTCATACCGACTCAATAGATCAATGTAGAGAATGGTCATGTGTGACCTTTGGGGTTTCGACGACGCCATTTGCAGATATTTGCAGCTTTTTCAGTCTCAGATGGCGAGGGCTCGGACTTTGGCGCTGAAGGCCCAGCGCAACGGTCAGGCCTTGGCGCCCCTCCCTAGCGTTGGATGGAGCGCCTCTGCGATCTGCCAGGAAGAAGCCTTCGAACTGTGGACCCTCGGCGCGTGGTGTTGTGCCTGGCTTTTTGGCTCGTGGTGTTCTTTGGGGCATTCTTGGCTTTCAATTCTATCTTTGAAAGGGTTTGCGATAGTAGAAGAGGGCAGTGGAAGTCAAGACCCAACCCACGGCTCTTTCCATGCTCTTTGCCATGTGGTCGCCTTGGATTCCTCCAGGCTTGGCGGGCTTGAGGATGCGTTGGATATGAGAGGGCTGCGGGAGCATGGCATCAACGCCATCGTGAACGTGGCCCTCAGCGGGTGTATGTACCTTCTCAAGTCAATCGCTTGATGGGAGGTTTGGTCCCAGATGAATCTTGGGTTCCTCAATATAGGTAATGCATGGTAATGTATATTATATTCAAACATTTATGACTATATACGATTGAGCTACTATATATATATATATATGAGAGGCTTCATACTTCATTGGCTTCATTTTGTAAGGATGGAACCATCGTTGATATCCCCAGGTATTCCTTGCTCTATCGCGGAGAGGCGGGTGCCTCCCAGCGGATGTTTTCGGCGGATTGGTACGAAGCCCAGCTGAACTTGGAGCGCATGGACTATTTGTTGCTGGACGCGGATGACCATCCACAGTATCCGATCTTGTGCCACTTCGAGGAGTGCCACGAATTCCTGAGAAGATGTCGAACTGCTGGACGTAAAGTCTTGATTCACTGTGTTGCTGGGCAGAACCGTTCGGCCACGCTTTGCACGGCGTTTCTGATGCAAGAAGCGTTGGATGCCACTGGACCGTTGTCTCTGGATGCGGCGGTCCACTTGATCTCGTCCCGACGTCCAGGCGGGAGCGTGGTCATTTGGGCTGCTAGACCAGTGGAGATGAACCATCAGAACATCCTTTAGCCACCCTCCAGGCATATGACATCATACGACCAAATGTTGCTCGCATGGAACTTTCGCGTCTTCCTCCGTCACAGCACTCCCAACTTCCCTGCCTGAACTGAGGTGTTCTGCAGAACTGCGGCTTCCTGCAACAGCTTCAGTCCTTGGAGCCCGAACCCTCCACCTGCTTCAGTCCTCACTGCTCCGGGCCGCCCAACCTGACCACCCACACCGTGACCGTGGGCGACGTCCGGGAGGTGGAGACCCCCGTGACGGCCGCGGCTGCGGCGGGTTCGACGCGGTCGCGCGACACCGGTCGCCCGGTGTCGCGCTTCCGGGCGCAGCGGAGCGAAAAAGAGGTTTGAGGAGCGAAAGATGTGGTTTGAGGATGTTCGAAGAGGTTTGGTGTTTTTGAATAGGGTGAATAGGGGTATACCATCGTGGGTCTCATCCTTCTTCCAGGGGTACTTTGCCTGGGAGACTCCTACGTTACATGACACATGTGAGGTTTGGGGGATGGGTCCGAGATGCTCAACACACCTCAACACATCTCCGAAGCGCGAGGATCGAGGCTTTTTGTTCAAGGGGCATGGTCCGACCAGAGACACTGGGAGAATGGTATACATACGGACTCCCAAATAATTAGATGGAAACGTGGCTCCCCACTAAACATCTATTGGAACACGTTTCTATCTATCTGGAAACTACTTGTCCTATAGTGATTGACCTTAGGGGTGAACTGCTGGGCTGCGTGGGGTGGGAAGGATTTGGGTCGTTCAAGGTGCCAGCACGACCTTTCGGGACGTGCAAACGATGCAGAACTGAACATGACGCTCTCCAAAAAGGACACAACAAAGAAACAACGTAAAACCACCCAAACAAACAACAAGACAACGAAAAACAAAACCCACCAACCCCACAAAGAGAGTAGTTGCTGGAAATACATCGTCATTTGCAACGCATTCCCCTGCGGAGACAAGGGTACACTGTACACAAGCACAAAGAAGCTGCCTTAAAAGGGCGGAACGAGCAGCTAAGTTGGTGTGCTTAGGCTCTTTCAACTCTCAGATGGTCAAGGCACTTGGTCATGCATGTTGCACATATGACCAGAGAATGATGCACGAGAGTTTCTGATCAGATCCGGGCCGGTTGGATGGCCAGAGTAGGATTTGCTGATGCCGCAGGTAAAACCAACCACGAAGTCCAGTTTGAGGGTCGAAAAGCACCCTACCAGTGGCCACATGCCAAAGGCTTTGCCAAAGGATGCCAAAGGTTTTTGGGACATTGTGGGTTTGGGCTCTTCATTTCCACCTGCTTTATTTAGGTGCTGGCTACGAGTCTGCTCTCGCAGCCTTCGACGCAGCCCTTTGCTTCATGACGGAGGCAAGTCTCAGCAGAACGGGTTGATTGTAGCTCATAGCAACTATAGGCTAGTTCCATGTCATTCTCAATCATAAAAAATACTGAGATTCAGAGTAGTGAGAGGTTTTTGTAAGTCTTGCGTTGTCTTGCAGCAGAATCAATCATGCAAGATTGTGCTGTACTCCACCACTCCACATGATGTCATGCGTCACAATTGCAATATCCAACGAAGCACACATTCAATCTCACCCACCCACCCCACCCACATCAATCAGTCATCAGCGGGCTCCTTTCGGAACGCCGCGGACCGCAGATGTTGCTTGCCAGGAGACTTCAGCTCCGAAGCAGGATCCAGTGCTACATTTGCGAGCTGCTGGGTCGTATTGGAAAATGATGATTAATATTTTGCCATCGCATGGAAATACCAATCTTGGGTGCTTGGGTGGTTGGGTTAGTCAGGAAGTGAAGGAGGATCTTATTTTGGTTGCCTGGGCAACGGTTGGCTGATGTGCTGTGAAGTCCAACATGCAAAAGCCAAGGTTGGAAGCATCCTTCACATGAAGGCGGAGGATGCCGTCTTGTGCTTTGACTTTAGCTGCTTGAAGAATCCAAGGCAATTGATATCAGGTAACACTGGTCGAATCGGGCGTCGGACTCGATCAGATCGACAGATCTGTGAAGATCGGACACGATCGGACACGATGGGGCCAGGAGGAAGGCTTTGCGGACGCTGCGACCGTTCAGCGTTGCTTGGAGACACTGGAGTTATAAGAGCTGAAATCATTCGACATGTTTGCGTCAACCTTTTCTTTAAAAGATCATAAAGGCATATAATTATATATATAAAAGCCAGGAAAGATATTACAATATATATATATAGTGTAAAGAAATTGCAAGGACAAAATGCATGACCAACATATGACCAACAAATGCAATCCACTGCTCGTCAAGAAAGATTCTTTCTTTTTTTGCTTAATTAGTGTAGGTCGCAGGGTTTGGTTTCAGCCCCCCTGTGGTCATAGTGTAGTGATCGGGGAGCATTGGAGAGGCTCAACTGGTTCAAACGGGGTGGATGGAGCATCCACAGACGAAAAACACCTAAAGCAGCTTGAACTGAAGTGACTTGCAATTCAAACTTGGTTATTTTCATTCCTATATGACATATGACGTTCTGTCGTTGGTACTGGTGGTGTGCAGGTGCGGTGAAGCACTACAAGAAGTCCGCCATGCTGGCCCCAACAGCAGAAGCCTGGAAGAACATTGGTGCCTCAGCCCCGACCAACGAGACTTGGGAGACCCACAACGTGGCATGATCGGGGGTTTGGTCGATGGGGGCCAGGAGGAGGAAGAAGCTCTCCTGAAAGCCAGCGGAGTAGGCCCCCCCCGCGGAATCCTTCGCAGACGGACCCGCCGTGGCCAGCGTTGGCCACCTCAAAGGCTTGGACCGAGTGCCCAGTGTGCGCTCGCGCCTCAGGTCTTTGCTGCTATCGCAAGGTGAAGTTCGAGTCCTCGGCGCCGCGGCGAGAGAAGAAGTTGAAGGAGGCTGGAGCACAGGGTTCACGTGAAGGGGGAGGAGGCGGAGAGAGGTGGAGTGGAGCCAGCTTGAATCGAAGATTCGTTTGTGATAGCCTTTGGCTTGAAGAATGGACCCGATCATGTTGGAAAAAGATAGTCCTGTTACCTGTTGGCGATCTCTTGTCCTGTAGTTCAGCCATTTCCTGTCCAAAAAGGATGTAGCAGGTTTGAGACTTCGCCATGTTTGGCCTAAAGTTGATGGGCGGTATTGGATAACAGATTGGCTTTCAAGCTAAGTCATACCAAAGCAGCTGTTCGTTGTTGTTGGTCCTGGCTGCTTCAGGCCATCAAGTATTTGCAAGAGGCCAACGTTTTGGATCGAGAGCGTCCAGAAATCCTGGCGTGGCTGACCATTTGTGCTGTGGAGCTTGGTGAGGTTCAAATTGCCAAACAAGGCAGGGTGGGTGAAGTGGGGTTGCATAACCTCAGGTTCGATCGCTATATGTGTATATATAAATTATATACATATAGCTGGAAGATCAAGTTCTAGGTATTCACATCCCCAGTCAGAGACGGGTGCTGATTTTGAGTCCTGAGATGTGCTGTGGCTTTTCACTCTTCATGGGCTGGCGGGCAGGCATTTAACCTGCCTGGTTGGTGTCCAATTCAGAGGAGATAATACCAACCTCCTCAACCTCTGATGTGCGGACAGAGGACATGTCATCCCGTTTCCAGAGACCATGTGTGTGCGTGTGTGTGTATGTGTGTGGGAAGGGGGATAGAAACCAGGGCAAAAACCCAGCGCGTTGGCGTTACACGCATGCGTTGTGCACAGGCTTCCGGCAACTGATGCAGTTCGAGCATCGCTTGGAGGAGCCGATCGCCTTGGAGCTGCTCGGTGGAGAGAACTCCCCGCCGACGAGGGGCTGAAGCCAAAGAAGCTGAACATGACCCTGGGTACAGAGGAGATACAACCATGTACAAACACAGATATCATACATAATGATATATGCTTCCAGGATTGTTTGGGGTGAGTATATAGGCAGAGACGTGGGAGCTATGGGGAGCATCCATATTTTCCGAGCTGCGCATGTTCTTGAATAGAGGGACTCTCCAAACAATGAATCTATGAGGCTGAGGACATATGAGGATCATTGAGGATCTAAAGAAGCCCCTCGCTTCCACCAAAAAGACGACGCCGGATCTTTTCAGCGAAACGGCGACGTTTCTATCGAAACCAGCTTTGAGGCTGGTCCATGTGCTCCTCCGCTTTAGCAATGAGCAGCAGGCAGCCTCGTGGGGCGGCGAGCGAGGCCGCCTCGTGCAGGATGCCCGCTACTCCGCTGAGGCAGCGGCGCTCTGCAAGGTGAGACCGGCGGAGACCGGCGGAATGAGTGGGTTCATTTGATTGTGGAGAATGAGAAGGGTTTCACATGGGGGGAGTATGCAAATGTACCGTAAGAAGTCTGTAACATGAATGTTGTTTGGGAAAGACGGTTCAAGCGCTGACTGCTTTGTCCTGGAAATGCTTTAGTTCCGGTTTCTTCATAATACCGATACCTTCACATCCAAATCATTGCACATCTCATGGTGACTTTACGATGTTGAGGTGCTCCTGGGCCGCGGCGAGAACGGCCGGGCTCGCTACATCTTGGCCTGGTCCAAGTTGTTGGATGGCGAGCACGGCGCGGCCGCCGGGGAGTTCTGCGCTGCCTTGCCCTACTTGGTGGAGGAGCCCAACTTGCTGGAAGAGGCGGCCAACATGGCCCGGCAGTGTGCATCCATGATCCCCGGAGAGCCGCACTTGGCGGCACTGGTGGAGGAGGTGGGCGTTGCATGATGAGGTTCTTGGGCGAGGTACTTTTGCAGTGAAAGCAGGAGGTTTAGTATAGTGGAAGGATGTTGGCGGATTCTGGAGAGTGCAGTTATGGCTTGGAGGTCATGTTCTGACGGTTGACATCGGTTGACTGAGTCCTGGGTTCGTTTCCCACTGCGCTGGCAGCCACTTCTCGAAAGCGTGCTAGAAAAGCACTCCTCATGCCACCGCCCTCCCTGGGGGCCGCCTTGGCTGCGAGGCCATTGCCGTGGCCTGCGAGGGTCCGGAGCCGCCGCTGGACGACGAGAGCGGCTTGGCCGACGGCCCGGAGGAAGAGCACGGGAAGGCGCCCAGCACTGACAGCGGACAGAAAGGGGAAAACCCAGTGTTTTTTTTCAGTTCTCGCGAGGAGGGCGAGTCTACTGAGTCTACTGTATTTTGATGGTTGTTTCAGTTTTTTTATTGGTTGGTTTTCAATGTTGATGACAACCCATATATACTTGTAAATACATATTTGGACATGGTCGGCCTCCAAAGGCATTGCTGCGACAGGAGTCAATGGGCAACAGAGGGCGGTGCAACCAACACTGACTTTTTCCACTGCATCTCAGATCCATGGTTCAATCTGCAGTTTGGAACGAATCGCCAGGTTGACCCGGACGATTTGACTCCTGTAGGCTGGTGCCTCAGTGTGAACGCACCAGCAGTTGGGGAAGGACGTCGGAAGTCGGTTGTAGTGGAACAACTTGTGAATCATCATGATTGACGGGCAAGTGATCTGGAACATTTGGGAACACTGATGGTCTTCTTGAAGGTGGAACTTGTTGCTTGAAGGCGAACTTTCACAAGTATTTACTGGGAGATAATCATATTTTCCATCACTTTGCAGTATGGTTGAAGAAGTCGAAGTCGTTGCTTGGACTGGCATTTTTGCAGCTGCATGTCGGCCTAGCATGTCCGCTCCTAAGCCGGAGCTTGAGATTCGCCACCGCTGAGGTTGAGGTGCCAATCCAATCTGGGGGATTCAGCCCTCACTGGACGTGGTTTACATATTTTTTGAAGACTTGGAGGAAGTGTTGCCATTTGTCATCCATTGGTCCCCAGCTTTTTTCCTTCATCTCTTCGAATTTGAGGTCTCACTCAGGTCTCACTCTTGACCCACCCCGTGGACTGTGGAACAAAAGGATGTCGGAGCCCTTCGACCATCGTGATCGTCGTGTTAGTCGTCCAGACCTGCTCCACCATGTGGAAGGTGGAATGGCTAGAAACCTCCGAGGTATGGAGTATGGAGACATGAGAAGAAAAACTTCACGCATCCCTTGGGCGTCACTTTCACACTCTTCCTTGCGAGTATGAATATATATACATATATATATATATGGTGATGTGTAGTACTCGTAGCGTTGCTGTGAAGTCAGATCCCTCCAATCTGGCAACATGTTCAGTGCGCTGTTTTGACAGCTCAAGGCGCATATGGCGCCGGCACATGAGGCTATGCGTAGGTGATCGACCATAGCCACAGCCCAAGGTGCATGGGAAAGTCACTAGCTCATCGATCATCATTGCTGTTGCATGCTATTGCTATTGCTTTTCATCACCGAGACCAGCGGGACCTCCCAGAAGCCCAGGCTCATGAGTACTCGTGCGTTCACTCCGCCATTGACATGAGTTCAATGCCCGACGAATTCAAACTTCTTAGGGTGTCCCTGCAATGGTTGCCATGGAGTGCCCGCCCTTCTTCCGGCTGTTTCTTTCCCTGCCCACCTGCCACTAGCGGCTTCCCCCGCATGGGCGACTTCCCCGTGGACCCCGCGGAGCGAGCGTCCTCACCGCAGTCAGAGGCTGCGAGTGGGGTCGCCGAGGGCGAGGAGAGCGAGAACGCGAGCGAGAGGCTCAGCGGGAACGCGGTGGATCTGCGACGCGCACTGGTGCGAAAGGTGGCGCAGTTGACCAAAGTGGTGATGCATTTGACGTCCTTGAATGATGCAGATGAGAAGCAGTACGAGGAGCTTCAAGCTGAGTTGGAGTGTGAAGTTCAGTTGGTGATGGAGAAAGCGCTCAAAGAGATGGATGCCGAGCGGCACAAGCTGACAGAGTTGGCGGACAAGACCTGCTTGCAGGAGGGACAGAGGGATGGAAACATGGGCAAGTGGCAACCGGCATTGTTGCACAGTCATTTTCAAGTCCATGGACCATGTGAAAATCTCAAAGCCAAGAAAAGCATACTACTACACTAGTCATTTTTTGCTGAAGCTTCTCCATGTTTGCATCTACCGCATTCAAGTCTTGATACTGCAGTTACTGTAACTCAGGCCATTTTGTCACAAGTGCTCTTGGGTTCGTCCCATAGATTTGAGGCGCCTGAATCCAATCTTCCTAGCCAATGAGAGATCCCAAACATGCAACATCATCCCAAATCCAAGCATTTGGCAACTCCATCTGCTTCATCCCACAGACCCATTCGATTCATCTCCAACCCAGGAGAACTCCCGGCGCCTGGAGCAACTCTTCGGTCCCCAGCGGCAGAGTTTCGCTGACGAGCTGCGCCGCGTGCGCCTCAGCGGCGAGGCGCTGCGGGCGAAGACGCTGGAGGCGGCGGAGCGGCAGCTCGCGGCGACGAGGCAGGTCGTGGGGGTACGCACCGGTGGTGACGGGGACACTGTGGGGAAGGATGAGTCATAATTGTAAGTAGCCTGTGGTACGACTTATGGACTGTCATGATAGTAAATGCTGATCAACCAGGGACTTGCAAGAAGCATCGATGGCGGCCGAACGCACGCCGTGCCGCCCTCCGTGCCTGGCCGTCACTGAGCCCGAGCCGTCGTCCGTGAGGTCGAAGGTGCGTGACGTCTCCGAGAAGATGCAGGAGCGCCGGTGGGTCGATGGCCTCCGAGGGTTCGGTGGTGGGGGGAACCAGAGGAAGCAACAAGCTTTCGGCCGGATCCAGCCAGCCAGTGGTCAAGCAGATGCTATGACCCAGAGCCATTTGTTGCGCGTTTCTTGTGCTTGCCGTGAGAAGCTTTCGGACCTTGGGATGTTGCTTTGGGACTTTTCTGATCCGCCGGAGGACAGTCTGCAGCGCTATCGGCAGACGTTGGCGCTTCGCGCCAAGGAGATGCAGCAACGCCATGAGGAGCTGAGACAGGATCGCCAGGCTGAGCTTCAGGTGAGGGATTCGCTTGCTGAGTCTGAGTGGAGTGGAAGACCGAGCAATGAGGATCAGCCATTTTCCGGGCGAACAAGCGATGCAGCAACTGGTGCCCTTTGTAGTGGAAATTGCCAGGGGGTTATATAATGGGAGTATGGCAGTGGATCGATGGGCGTTTTCGTGCTTGGCACTGTTCTCTTCCCATCCCCCAGGTGCTGGAGCAAGACTTCGAGCGGCGCTTGGATGAGCTCCGGGGCTCCCTCCGGCGCGAGGCGGAGCATGCGAAGCAGAGCACGGAGCATGCGATGCTGCACATGCGCCGGACGCATGAGGTGATTTGGAGGGGTTGGGAATCCATGGGGAGGTGCGAGGTGGGAAAGCAGAATGAAGAACAGTGATGTAGTGCCCAAATATGCCCGTATAATCCCAAATATATGTAAATGGGTAATGGAGTTGCAGTTATGACGGCGGACATTTGGCGATGTGGCCGAAACATCCGGAAATTGAACGTTGAACAGGTGATTTGCTGCAAGAGAAGCTGCCACAATCTGCTTTTGTACAGTTTCATACATCTTGGCACAGGTTCGGTTCGATGATGGAATGATGCAAGATGAACCCCAAGGGGGCTTCGCCTCGCCGAAACCGCTACGAGGTGGCAACGGTGACAACCCCAAACCCAAACCTGCTTCCGGAGAAAGTCGCGCAACACCGTGAAGTGGAACTGGGAAAAGAGGCAAAGCATGACCCTGCTTCCCCAAGTTCCGGAAGATCGACAGAACAACTCATCTCTCGGAGTGTTCGGTGTCCGTCGTTCATCTCGCGTCGTCTCGCGTCGTCTGCAGCTGAGACGCGTCGACCGCTGGTCCGTCGGTCCATAGGCCGAGACCTCCAGCTGGCAGATGCAGGCCTTGCAGCGTCGGCAGGAGCGCATCCAGCGCCTGGAGCTGGACTTTGCGGAGGAGCGCCGGAGGCTGGAGCAACATGCCAACAGCTCGGAGCTGGAGCTGGGGCAGCTGAAGAAGGACGAAGCTGAAGCTGAAATGACTTGAAATGGAAGACTTAGAGACATTGAAAGGATTCTTGTTGGCTTCAGATTCACTGACATCTACTGGCTATTGCTGAAAACCGAGGGCGTGCTGTGCGAGTCAGTTCCGTCCTCAGGAGACATTGCAGATTCCCCCTGATCCTGACCTAGTTGAAACTTTCCAGATGATAAAGGCTTGAGAAGGCTTGTATTGCTTGTTGTGATCGTCTTGTCCCTCTCCCCGAGAGCCTCCGGCCAATCAAATCAGCCGAAGAAGGACTTGTTGGACTTCAAAGCATCCTACAGCTTGGTGGACCAACAGGCGCAGCCGACACCCTGCATGGGTGGCAGAGAGACAAGCCAAAAGCATCCAAAAGGAAAGAGCATTGTACTTCAATAGCATAATTACCCCTGCATTGACTATATTGACTCTATCTATAGTTACTATGATGGTGACTTGGTCGTTCAAGCAACCGCAGAACCGTGCAAAACAATTTGAAGCAACGTTTGCATTCGTGTAATGGTTCCCTTTGCCAACTCCGTGCTGTTCCCCTCCGAACCTTCCCACCTCAGGTGGACGCCATGCGCGGCACGCTGGACGAGATGCGCTTGCGCGCGGAGCGGGCGCAGGCGGACGCCGACACGGCACGCGCGGAGGCGGCGCAGGCCGAGGTGGACGCTGCGGCGTTGGCCAAGGAGATCGCGCTGCTGGAAGTGAGGCAGCGCTCCGCGGGGATTCCTCCAGGCGGAATTTGGGATCCGCCCTTGTTGATCCTTTTGGTTGTAAATGGATTATTTTCATGTATTTTCATAAGTTTTGTGGAGGTTCGGCCTCTTTCCATGGTACAATTTTTTCAGGATTCCGGGATGATTCCGGGCTTGAAACGGCTGACGTTTTCGAAGGCATACCAGCTGGTGACCTGCTGCGAACCACCAACTGCCGCTTTTTCGGCCCCTGTGAGGTGTGATGGCTCCTTTACCGCCCAACACCCCCAAGACACCTAAACCAGCTAACGGCTTGACCGATGAGCTTCGGGAAGCGATTGGAAACAGCAAGCAGTTGGAGCATGAAATTGCACAGCTGGAGGCTGAGCTTGGAGACTTGGAGGATGAGTTCCTTGGGTGAAGTCGGAGAAGGTTTCTGTATGTTTTTGTTTTTCAATAGATGATTTATATATATTAACTTACTGTAGCCTCAGTGCATCTTCTATCCCACGGATGAATGTGATATCAAAACATCCTCCCAAGCAGCCAAGCTGCAAGATCAGGAAGACAAATGTGTCCTGCCGTTTTAAGATCCAACGTGCCGAAAAGAAGATCACCCATCCTGCCGGGCTTCCGGGTCAACATATCCGGATCAACATCTCGAGGCTGGCGGAGAAGGACAAGACGGTGGAGATCCTGGAGCTGGAGACCGAGGAGGAGCGCCTGCGCACTCATCGACTCCAAGCACGGATCCTGCAAGTCGAGGCCTCCCTAACCTGACGCCGAGCACGGCGCGGCCTGGCGCTGCCCGGCGGCTGCGGTGCGGACTCTGGGGTGGGAGGCCGCGAAGCAGCCTTTGGAGGTGGAGGCTCGCTTGGTGATTTTGTTGGGGGTGGATGGATGTTGAGAAGTAGTCAGTAGTTAGTAGTTCTTGTTACATGTTCTTTCTACTACGGATGTTTATGGCGTGTATAGGGCCAGGGGACAAGATACATACAAGACTAAGATAGTCTCAGACTAGCAGGGCCACACCTAGTAAAATCCAAAGTTGTGCACTTGTCTTCAGGCAACCAGCCCACTAGCGCTCGTGAGCCTTCTTGGGACATCTGATTGTTTTTGATGACGGCAGATGGTAGCAGGCTGTTACTCCGCCCACACGTTGGCAGAGTAGCCGAGGAGCCGTCGCCTTCTGTTGCGTGACTTTTGATGGTTTCACCCCTCCAGACGTTTTCACAGGCACAAAGGCCTGGGCGTGATGGAGAAAGCCAGGCAGGAGCAAGTTTGCTAAAACCAGGCATGAACAGTGTGGCTGTTGGAGGCAAACCTTGCAGCCACAAACATTAGTTGGTGTAGTCCAGGATTTCCTTCCATGAACTCAAGCTGCTCATTTCATCTCCAGGACTGTGAGTGGGTGACTTACCCTGGCTGGCGCATGGTGACGTGGGTACCTCAGCCGCCGGCCTTCGAGGGTGAGAGATGTGAGAATCGGGTGGCTGAAATGCCCCTGGCTGAGGCCAGCAGGGAACTTTGACTTCGAAGTAGGCAGGTGTTGCCGCCTTTGGTCAGATCGCGGAAAATCGCGGTCTAGATCGCAAAAACATGAAGAGCATTGGCCTGCTCATGTCCTCAGCCATATGGCAATTTTCTCAGTCATTCACATCATGTGCACTCATTGCCAACCAAAGCTTCGTGCGGCACTCCCACCCACCTAGGAAGTCCCAGGTGCTCCTAGGCATCTACCAGGTGTACTGGTCAAACCTGCCCTGCCAGGCGCGGTGGACCGCTGGCAGCAGATCCTCCAGCGCTTCGGCGGGCCCAGCGCCGTGGAGGACTGGAGGCGCTTGATGGCGAAGGCTCAGCCGCTGGGAGAGATCTCCAAGGCCGGAGGGACGGAGGAGATGGAGCGGTTGGGACAGAGAACACGGGAGCAAAGAGGAGAAGAGGCTTCTATCTGTTTCTATGAGCTTCTATATGTTTCTATATGTTTCAAAGCGTTTGGTTTCTACATGTTTCTATGAGCTTGATGGGCTGCGTTTAGACCGGTCCTGGTCAAACCGGTTTCTAGGGAGGCACGGAATAGGACAAGAGCCAGACACAACATGGACCTTGCATAGCTGCAGGAGTCAGGTGAGCCGGTGCCCAGCTCTTGCGACCGTTTTTCAACCCATCGATCGACCACCAGGGAGTACCAGCTGCCGCTTTGAGATCAGTGGCACCAGATCTGGGATTTGTGCTGCCCTCAAGCTGCTTGCGTTTCCACTTCCTTCCAGAATTTCAGTGACTTTGATAAAGGGGTCGCACCCGTGAAACTGTCCCACGTCTTCCACAACGATTCCGCCGGCACTAAGGTCCGCACGCGAGGAGCTTAGGTAGCTGGACTAGCTCTGCTTTAGAGAAGGGGATGGGAGGCCAAACGTTGTGGGGGCGCTGCTGCGTTCACTGTCTGAAGACTAGAGAACGGGACTTCATCTTGATGAGATTTGATGTGTGCCTTTAAGATGACAGTGATTACTACTGTGATTGCTAACACGTTCGTCTCAAGATGTCTCAGGTATCAACGAGGCTACATGAGGGTACACTTTGGCTTCCCATAGCTTTTATTCTTGCTTGCAGTGTCAAACGAGTCATGCCCTCACCAATGCCTGACAGCCAAACCTTCGTCTACCTTCCACACCTGAGGCTTCAGAGATATGTCTCGCGACTTCCACCGTTGTTGCTCAATGGCTTGAAGTTCCAGGCGCCCTTCAGCGACCTCTTGCAGGAAGCAGGTGCCATCCTCAGAGGTCTCCCGGTCTCTCTTTAGTCACGTGGGAATAGATGAGGGGCGGGCAGGGATCTTGTACAGGGGTGAAACCCCTTCTGAATAGGGTCTCACGCGTGAAGACAAACCAATTGGTGTCCATCAATTGGGGATCAGGTTGCTAGACACCAACCTGACGTTGCCTCCCCGACTTCGCTGTTGAAAGACGAACGAGCCGACCCGGGCCGGCGGCAAGCTCTGACGTCGGACGAGGTGTGAGCGACCACTTCGTGAAGAAGTGGGTGGACTACCTCTGCTTCGTCCTCCAGGCAAAGCTTCGGGATTCTGGAAAGGGTGATTAGAACACCTGGAATGAAGAGAAGGAGCCTTGACATGTTGTTTGTCCTGTAAGCCGGTAAGATGTATTTGTCCTGTAAGCCTGTAACATGTATATACACATCACATGCAAGTTCTACAAGTATTGATGTCGAGCTATACGACTCTACGACCAGGTTCGTGTCAGGTGCAGTAGACTTTGCACTTGCATGACAGGTTCTAATGAGTTTGTCAACATTCTGCGAATGGTGTTGGTGTGCTTAAATTGCGACGCTCAGCTTTCTCATCCAAAAATGATCCTTGACCTTACTGCCCGAGCTTGTGGATGAACCAAGCGCCACTAAGCTCCAGGCTTTGCCTGCATCTGGCCATCCGACTGCGCCAGTGGCCTACATGCTCTCTGACATGTACATGTGACTTGGCAGGATTCTTGAGACGTAGAGGTTTACATGTGGCCTACCGTCGACGGGAGAAATCGTTCAACACCTGGGACATCCCTGCTTTCCGGATAATCAAGGTGTTTCATGGTGTTTATAGACTTATAATGACTAGTAACCAGTCCAATACATAGATGCTGCTGGCTTGAACGCCAGCATACCTCAAACAGGCAATGCCATCCCAGGACCATCGGTTGGTCACCAATGACACACCCTCGTTTTCTCTCGCTCGGATGGTTGTACCCAGGCCAGGAGCGGTCCTGGATTATCCCAAAGGAGGCATGGGAGTGAGGCGCTTGGTGGCTTGGTGTGTGAGGAGGACACAGGCCACGTGGCAGGAGAAGGGCCACATAGGGAATCCAGTGCAAGACACGAATTCTGCTCTCTGTTAGGGGCCGGATGATCTGGTAGAGACTTGTAGACTCTGGTCGCTGGGGCCATTCCTGATTTTCCCAAGGCCTTGATAGATGCTTTGGTTCGAGGACTGGAGAAACACCATGGGACGATCCGCCGCCTGGCTATTTCTTCATGCACGACTCAATATAAACATCATTGAACATCCAACATCGCTGCCTGACGGCTGACGGAGGTCGTTCTTGGTCTCAGGCTACAACGCGCATGTGGAGAAGATTCTGGTGGATGGCGGCCCTGTGCCCTTCACAGCTCGAATTGATGCTCTTCTTTCGGACGACTCACGGCGGTGTCCGCAGCTGCGAGGCCAAGGGAGTGCAGCTTCGGAGCGGGGAGCTGGGAGTCTCAGAGGGGATGTGGAGCTTGTGATGGATATGATATTAGGTTTGGGATCAGGACAAGAAGAAGTTCCTTCCGAACAGCTACTGTAACCTGGAATTGGACCATGGTCACCATGGTCTCAGGTCTCTGGGAATATATTCCTCCACAAGCCTAGGGTGGTCACGGGAGTTCCACTCCACTTCTATGTTTGTCCGAGTGTTAGTGCAAGCGTTGAACAGCAAGCAGACACAGACTTTTGAACATGCACAAGTTGAGGCAGATCCTGGCGCGAGAGGCTGGAAGATCAACCTAATGCCACTATGGCAGCCGATTGCTTGTACCAAGTGTATTGAACAGTAGTAGTGTGTGCTTTGCGTGATTTCCCAGAACTGCAATCATTCTAGCCAACTTGTTGGGGGTTATATAATAGTTAGTATACTGGAATTAAATGCAGACCGTTTTGCTATGGATTCTTCTAACCCATGCCGCTTTCAAGCGTTCAAAGGCGGTGGTGAGCAATGCCAGCGTGTGGGACACTGCTCGGTTGTTGCCAGCGGAGTGCTGAGGGAGTGGTGCTAGGGCATCGTCTCCGGGATGTGGACCTCGCAACGTCCATCACGGCGCTCAGGAGGGAAGCCCATGGCCAAGCAGCCCACCACCAGAGAGCTTGCCTGAGCATCCGAGATGTTCAGCTAGCTACTGTATCTCATCCAAGCGGCCGGGCCTATGTCAACTCATAACAAGTGTTAACAAGTAATGTGCAACACGAGCTGATTCGGATTCTGAAGACATATGACTCATCTGACGTAGACCCATTGACACAGCGCCAATTGGAATCCAGACATGGACATACTCAGACTCTCTTGGGCCGTCTTCAGACTCTGGTTGTTTGAGGTGTGGCTCCTTCATGCATTTACACTTGGGCCTCAAGGCCGAGGTGGGTGTCTGGCCATCACCCTTTGGAGAAGAGTGAAGCACGGTGAGCACCTCGAAAAAGGACAGCGAACGATATGAAGGGGGTCCACCACCCCCGCTTGGTCAGGGCACCGCATGGATTTGAGAGCCAATGCCAGGTGTTTCCGCTCCAAGCACATCCCAGCACCCGGATATTTCACGATCCGAGCTTCGTGACGGATATTTTGGGGGAGATGCCTTTCAAAAGAGTTTGGGGGCACGTGCGGTATGTGGGAGTGTGGTGGTGGATCCATGCCGCTTCCATCCTTCGATAGAACCGGCCAGGGCCTGCCCTCCGACATGCCGCTGCACTACAGCGTCATCCGGGACTGGGAGGTGCGGCAATGGCATGTGGCCATAGTGGCCAGTTGGAAGTGACATGCAACTAGCGGGATGAGTGGGCAAATGTTCTAGTAGTTTAGCAACTCAATTGCAGAATCTATAGACTATAGACATAGACTTTTGAGCTTGGAGGTGCTGCGAGATCAGGTATTTGGCTTAAGGAGGCGCGCCTTCGCTTCCTGCTTGAATGTCTGTTATGGCCACTTCTTCGCGGAAGACGGCCCTGGTGGGGCTTTTATCACTGACATCTGTAGCGGCCCTCCTCATTCGACGAGTCTTGCGAGCTTGGAGGGCACGCGGCTTAGGTGGCACACCGTTTCAAGTGGTTCAGAGCGGCTCACGCCTCCTGGACCCACAGGTGTCGCCCTTGCTCCTCAAGGTGTCAATTGGCCATTGTGTGAGGAGTTGGAGCGACGACTATTTGAGGAGATACCTGGGAGGTCACAAAATTCAGGTGCATGTCTCTGACACGCCCTTTTTGAACTTTGCCAGCAAAAACTTTGCCTATGAGGTGGCAGACTTTGATTCATTTCTCAGTCGACTGCAGGGAGAAAATGGCAACAAGTTTCTTTATTATCGATCACAGCATTCGAAAAGGAACAAGGCGGCGACTTTAGAGGCGATCGGTCTTGGAGGCGATGTGGATCATGGCTTTTCACTGCCTGATGAGTTGCTGCTGCCTTTCGAAACCCACTCGACCGTGCTGAGGATAGCCAGCACTGGCTTGTCCATGTGGTTGCACTATGATGTTTGCGACAACTTCCTGTGTTGCATTCGAGGGCGAAAGAGGGTTATTCTCTTCCATCCAGATGACATTGGACTCCTGTACATTTCCGGTTCCTCCTCGGCAATGGGCAGCCGCCTTTTTGCGGAGGCCGATCTGCCCCAGTTGTGGAAGGAGTTCCCATTGGCCAAAGCAGCCTGGAAGCGACGGCATGAAATTGAATTACATGCTGGCGATGTGCTTTTCCTTCCAGCCTTCTGGGCACATTGTACACAGGCCTTGCCTCATGAATCTGACAAGGCGAGTATCAGCGTCAACACATTTGTTCTGCGTCGAGACACGATGTCACTACATGATCCCAAAGATGTTTGGGCAAACAGGGAGCTTTTGCCAGCACAGGATGCAGTCAAGGCCTTCGAGGAAAAGATTTTACCTTCCCTTGCAAAACTTCCTGCTACAGCCAGGTCTTTTTACTGCAGAAAAATTGCCGCACAACTGCAATTGGAAGCTGAGGCGGCAAGTGCATCCGGCTGAGATGTGTCCAACCTGAAAGCCACGAATGCTCCAAGGATAAAAGAGAGAGAATTTGCCTTTTGAACCACAGGAGGTGATCCTCAAGCGCCCCCCCAAAATGCAAAGAAGAACAGGATTCCCCTTCCCCTGGAATGTCCGGCGGGCCTGGGGGCACGGCCGCTTTTTCACAGACACATATACTGCCGAAGTACCAGGCAGTGAAGTTCGCACCAGTCAGAAGGTACGCGTCGATGAACGCCACACGACAGAGGTCCTATGAAGACTGAATATTTTTCCTGATGAAGACTGTGGTTAGACAGGGGTTTCAACAAGCAAGTCAGCAAGTCCTCACATTTTTCAAGACACCTCATTAACAAAGGATGGCGATCAAGGGCATCAATCTCTCATTGCTATATATACTGAAAACAGCTGCTGGTGTTTATTGTACGTCGTCCCCTAACACATCGTTCAGCTACAAGCAGTGCATAAATGCTTGACTTTTGTGCCCAAACGTTCTCACATATCCACGGCAGAACGTGACTGGGAGCTTTGGAAGAACACGAGTAGCACAAGAAGGTCACCTCTGCTACAATCAATGCGGGTCTAAGCTTAACCACCCTAAAAGACACTAACCCCCCTCGGCCTCTATGACTCTATGGGACCCTCTTCGTACGCTGCACGGGTCGCTTGACCGCGCAGGAGCCCATCGATGCCACGGGCAACGTGGTGATCATCAGCGTCCCAAGCGTCGGGAGGCCCAACGATCGGAAAGGAGGATCGGAGGTTCCGAAAAGGGGGGGCTACTCAGAAGCCTAAGCCTAAGCCTCTAGAATGAGTTGAGTGGGACATATTTTGCTGACAACAAGGATAACATAATGGGTGGATGCTGAAGAATTGGACATCGACATCCTGGCTTGGGAGAATGGCATCTCCGACTAAGTATAAAAGGATATAAAAGGTATCTATTGTCCATAGGTATCTAGCAGGAGTGCCGTTTCCTTTTTTCTTACCAAGCGCAGGCAGTGGTTGCCAGTCGCTGTTGCAGTGAAGGGTGGCACATGCCCTTTTCCATGACCCACGTTTGGCCCATCATGCTGCCAGAGTCACCCATCGGAGGATCTGTGAGTCTGCAATGGCATGTTTGAATAGTCACATGCATCACCATGCTTAAACTTATATAAACTGTTACAGTTTCAGCACAAAGTTATGAGCATGTTTGGAAATCCTTTCTGCAGTTATTCGCACACGAGATTACATGACTCAACGCTGCTCAAGCATCTAACAGCTAACCCAAAGGATTGCAAAGGAGCATGGGCGGATTGGAGTTCATCAGGTACCAAAAAGACACCGCTCACATTTGTGTGAACCAGAGGCAACTATTCCGCAAGGAGGTCAGAGTCGCATTTGATCATGGTGGTGTGTCCAAGATAGAAGATGATAGAAGACCATGCGAGGAACTCATGGGACTGGCTCTATACGTTTCCTTTTGGCACCAGTTGAGGGCGAGGCAACAGCCAGTTGGTACTCTACTGTACCGAAAATAGATAAACGGGTCGAGCCTTGAAGGGACCTCTCCCAGAAATGCCCGGACTTCGCGTCGGCTCGCCGGGTGGCCCTCGGCTTCTTCGGCGACGGGCTTCGTGGTGCCGAGGTGGTGAACTCCCAGTTGGCGCCGCCAGGGAGACATTGCGCCATCCTCGGATTCAGCATGGTTCGGCCAGCTCAACACAGGCCCGCAGGCCCTTCTTGGGGTTGGGCCTGGGGAGACGCATCGGGGACATCTGCGCAGAACATTTGAGCAGGAGTATGGCTCGGAATCTCGAACCATCCGGCCCGGCAGAGAAGAACTCCACTGCACCAGCCCTTCTTGGTTTCAGAAGCCCTGAGGCTTGCACGCCTACCTGGCAGCTACCGAGCCCTTTGAGCCATCACCCAAGAAGAAAGTGAGAGAGGAAGGAAAGAACTGGACATATCTGGACATGACCAATCAGCACCGGACATTTGGTGTACAACGCCATGAAACACCCCAGCGCTCCCGGGTCGTTCGGCGCCCCGAAGACACGACGATGGAGCGCAGCTCGGTTCGACACGAGACACGTGGGCCGTTCGGCTCCGAGGCCCTGGAGGAATCTGGATCGCCGAAGCCCTGAGTGAGCCATGTTGGGAGTTGAACACCCAACTGACCTATATATATATATAATATATATATATAACTCCTATATAGATGGACTACCTTGTGCACTGAAGCGTGGACTTCTCCACATACTTTGGACTTGGCTAGATGCCCGGTGCCAGTCGTGCAGAAAGGTCAGGCAAACATGACAACAAAATACCAAAAAACGGCATGCAAACAGCAAGGTCACCCAGTTTCAAGACAAGTAGCTGGTAGGTATGCTAGGTAAGTTTCAGTTTCCAGCATACATAGCGGCATAAGATCACCTACAGCTTCAAAACAACTTTCAGCTGCTAGGTATGATGCCATGAAGAAAGAACGTGCCCAGCCGCTCTGCGAGGCAGTGGAGCGGGCGGTGCCCGGCATCTCAGATAGTATGTCATGGTGTGGGCATGGCCTGGAGGAGCATCAGCATTCCCAGAGAATGTGGGATGGAGCGCCCTCCCTCCTAAAGACCTAAAGACAGAAAGTGCCTGCTGTTGAGGAAGCTCAGTCGCCATTTGGTCAGCGAGGTCATTGTTGTTGGTTGGAGAGAAGCCAAATTACGTGGATGGTTGGAGCTCCAACGAGGATGTCGGAATGTACATGGGGCAGTCGGTGCAGGGCTTTTGAGTGCAAGGGAGATCTGATCAACAGCACGGAAGGTTAGAGAAGGCTTGGATGTCGAGGAAGGAACGTCCTTGATTCCGTGGTGATTGACTTGTGCAGAAATGCCTGCCTGGCTGCATCATGTGTGGACCTGACGAGGCCTGGAGCCCTCAAAAATATTGCGGGCAGCTCAGGGATGAACACAGAATCAGTCAGGTTTTGTGGGTAGATGGAGCCGTTGGAGGATGTGGGAGTCTGGGCCACTGATGTGGAAGTTCTTGAGGTTCGGCAAGGCAAGGGTGAGGATTTCCAGCATTTGTACTGTATCAAGATAATCGAGGGCAATCAAGGACATATCAGCCCCATGGCATCGGTTGGTACAGCTAGTGCCCTTGCTTAAGGAGCTGGAGCTCATCGGCTCTCCCCTCACTCACGCGAGGTTCAATCGCAGGTGTGTGGAGACTCGCATGTGGGAGTCTGGGCTAATTCGGTCCTGCCTTGGTGTGTGTCTCCTCAAGCTGGACCAGAGAAAGATGTGGCTTGTTCGGTCGAAATCGTCTAACCGTTGCAAGTGACACCCCAAGCAGCATCACGCCGAGCAGCGACACAACCCACGGCGGGCTGTGGGCCAGGCATCATGGCACCTATGGGCCGCTGATGCCAGCTTCAGCCCGGGCAGCGCAGCTGGGGGGGGGAAGACCTCATTGAGTAGCCTTGTAGTGACCAGTAGCAGGGGTAAGGCCGTGGAAACGATTAGAAAACAGGGCAACAACAGACCATCCACTGTAATTTACTGCAACACCATGTGCTGTCCAGGTTAGTCACGAAAGCTAGCACCAGCTAGCTGGAGTTGTCCTTGCTTTAGCAAGTGAGGGGCTGGAATCCTCGGGATCGCCGCATCACGT